ATTGGATCAGCCCTGGCTTGTCAGTTTTACACATCATGCTAGACCATCAGCGAACCCTGACCCTCAGTCTGTAAGCTACGCATGGAGTGTGACCCCTTTTCAACCCTCTGCTGCTCAGCGGTAGGAGCCAGCGTCACCTCTTACTTCCTAACTCCATGGTTTTTCCTTCCACCCCATAGTCTGCTCTCCAACTGCAGTCAAGACCATCCTTTCTGAAAATGAAGTTGGGGCTGGCATGTGTCGTTCTTGCAGAGGACCTGAGTTCAATTCCCCTCACCCACTTCAGGCAGCTTACAGCTTTCTTGTAACTCCAGCACCTCTGGCCTCCAAGGACACACATACGAATACACTCAATTAAAAAAGAGAATAACTATCAATCTCCCTGGTCAACTCTTTCCAGTGATTCCTCACCTCACTCAAAAGCCAAAATCTCTGCAGTGACCTACAAGGTCTGAGCCTGTTCCTTCCTACCGCTTCAGTTTCACAGCTAGCCAGCTTTCTCCTGTGAATCACTCCTCAGTAAGCACGTGGATCTTTCTGATCCTTTGAGCATACATACCAAGCACGTTCCTTTCTCAAGGTCTGTGTACCCTTCTGTCTTCTGGGATTTTCCTCCTCAGACATCTCGGGGTCTTGTTGGTGTTGTTCCGTTTGGAGGCAGTCTCACTATGTAGCACGGGTTGGCCTGAAATTCACCAGTAGACCAGGCTAGCCTAGTAACCTCCAATCACAGAGATCCACTTGCCGCTGCCTGTCCCGTATTCAGACTAAAGGCAAGGCCCCTGTTGTTGTTGGGTTTATTTATTTTTCTTTACAGTATGACTGTTTCTCCTGCGTGCGTGTTTGCACACCGCACTCATGCCTGTTGGACCCTACGGAACTAGCCTTATGAATGGTTGTGAGCCACCACGTGGGAGGGGGCTGGGGAATTGAACCTGAGTCTTCTGCAAGAGCAACAAGGGCTCTTCACTGCGGATCTCTCCCGCCCCTTAACCTGCAGTTACTGCTCTTCCTGCCTCAGCTTCCTTATTATAGGTGTATGTGACCTGAACTCAACATCACCTTTGGCTGCAGCTACCTTCAGAGGATTAAAGTAGAAGCACTGTAGCAAAACAGGGCCTCAGAGTAGATACAGGAATGAGATGATGGGTGTGGTCTTAGACTCTGGGATCTAGAAAGAGAGCAAGGGACCAGGGACCAGAGTTTTTGGGCATACCTTTGAAGCAGACGTAAGCCTCGGGCTGGGAAGGTGTAGCCCATCCATCAGCCTCTAGGAGACAAGGGGTAGAATTCTATCGAGGGTGATCTAGAAGAGTTGCTGAACACAGGGGAGGGGGGGCTTCCCCGGAGCCCGGCAGTTTATCTGCGGCATCTCTGGCGCCCCTGGGTGGTGGCCCTTGGTGCTGCAGTGGAAGACCGGTGAGGTGGAGGGAGGCAGCCGCGGCTGAGCTCACCGCTGCGGACCCATCCATCCCTCCCCGGCCTATAATTTGGGTTCCCTGGGCTGGCCGCCCCTATCAGCGGCTTAGCAACAGATGAGTCACCCAAGACCCCAGCCAAGGCAAACATCAGGGGAGGGGGGAAGGAGGAGATTCCCGAGCGGAGCCGCCTCCGTTGCCTGACTCCCCCATCTCCAGAGGCCCACTCTTTCTTTGACACTCCCCTGCCATGCGGGGCCTCCGCGTTTTCCCACAGGGTTTCGCTGTACCCTCCGTCCTCATGAGGGGCAGAATAGCCTTCTACCATTCTCATCAAAAGGAACGTGGGCCAGGTTGCTCCCATTTCCTCTCTCCAGTGGTGGCAGCCCCCTTCTCTTCCCCCTCTTGTCTTGGTCCCAACCCTTGTCAAGGTCTCTCCGGTTCCTGCCCCTCCCCTTTCTTGGAGCTGGCTGCGTGCTTGGGGTATTAGGCAATGGGTGTGCACCCACAGGCCTCTCCAGGCCCCGCCTGTCCCACCGCCCTTAGCTGCCTGTGGGTCATCGCTCAGGCCAGACAGTCGGCAGGAGGGCACCCTCGGCCAGCTCAGGCCACCGCTGCCTGCCTGTGGCCTCTTATCAAAGAGTGAAGAGCGCCAAGAGCCAGTCTTCAGAGAGGAGAGAGAGCAGCAGCATGAGTTCTTAGGTTTGGGACAGTCCAACTTGGGGAGCCCCAGGCCCCTGAGAAGTTGAACCTCTGGCTGCTAGTATTCCTTTGCCCCTTCTATTGTTATCAAAATCATCACCATCACTATATATATATATATATATATATATATATATATATATATATATATATTTATATATATATATATATATTATATATAATTTTTTGAGATAGGCTCTCTCTACATAGCCTGGCTACCCTGGAACTCACTATGCATCCAGGCTGGCCTTGAACTCACAGACATCCACCTGCCTCTGCCTCCCTAGTGCTGGGAGTAAATGTCTGTGCCACCACCTTAGCCCCTTCTTGACATCCGGCTGAATGCTGGAGCCAGACAAAGACAGCATCAGAGAGGGAACAAATAGGAACAAGACAAAATAAAATCCAGCGTGTAAGTGGGACCACGGCCACGTGAAGAAAAACAAATGTCCGTGAGAAGATGGTGGAGAAATGGGGTCTGTGAAATACCCTTCCAGGGGCAAGTCCCGGGCTGACGCGCAGGAAAAAGGATGAGGCACTGATGAGGATGCAGATTCTGGAGTAAGGGTGAAAGCCGCTCAGATAGTGCCTGCCCACCTCTGAAGTCATCCATGGTCTGGTCTTCTTCCCTTAAGCGGGAAGAAGGCTCGGGAGCTCTTGGGCTGCCTACTCCGGAGGGGAAATCAGAAAGAGTACCACAGCGTGGTTCAGGCTGTCTAGCAGAGGACCACCCCCTCACCCAGCCCTCAGCGGGTAGTCCCAGACACCTAACTTCCTCTGGCCGGTTTAGACACCTCGCTAGGGATGCCCCTTTCGCGCAAGGCCAGACTTGCAAGAATGCAGCCGAGGGGCTGGCTGCCCACCATTTACTGCCTGCCGCCACCAGTGAAGAGGCGGTTGTGGCTGTGGGGACCAGCCCCGTGCTTCTGTTTCCTGGGGGGTCGTCGAGCCAACGTGCTTTGGGTGCTCAGGGCCAGCCGTGCTGTGCTTGGGAGCTGCGGTCTGGCAGGGGCTGGGGGTGGTTGGGAAGCCTTGAGGCCCCTCTCTGGCAAAAATAGTCCGCAGTGGTTAGAGCTCGGAGGGTGAGTCAGGCGGGAGAGCGGCGGCGCCTAACCCCTTCGCTGCCGCCAGGGCTCGGAAGGCGCCTGTGCCTCCGCCTGAGCGCAGGCCGGGTCGCTCTCCAGCCGTCCTGGAGCTGAGCTCAATCCGGGACCCCGAGGCCTTCCTCGGCCAAGGTGCGAGCACGGAGCCTGAATCTGGGTCCTCTGGAGCGGTCATCCCGGAATTCCGGAGAGGCGACCCCCGGGGAGGCTGTCTCCCGGAGAAGGGAAGCGTGGGGGCTGACGGGAGCTCTCTGGGGCTACCCGAGCTTCTGACCGAGGCCAAAGCTGACCCCTCCCAGGGGGCAGGCGCCTGGCTCCGAGGTGGGCGGGAGCCCGGCCACAGGGTGGCTTCTCACTCGCAGGCTGAGCGCCCTGCTGCGCGCAGGCTCGTGGGCTCCAGAAGAGGCTCAGAGCCCGGAGGTCGCCGGGTTCCGTCGTCAAAGGAGCTCTGCAGCCAGCCACTCCCGGCGGACAAAATGAGGCAAAGAGAAACTGCGAACGACACCGCGGTTGGGACCAGCCCCCGGGTGCTGAGCCGGGGTCGCCGCACTCTCCCTGCAGCCTCCAGGACCCCAGGGCAGGTGAGAGGAACGCCGACCCCTTGCTCCTGGAGCGGGGCTGGTCCCGAGCCCGGGCGTCGGGGGAGAGGGTGTGTGCGTACGCTTTGGGTGGGGGGGGCTGTGTTCCCCTGGTCAGGGCGGGGGGTGGGGTGCGGGTGGGGTGGGGATGCCCCGGGCTCTGGGAGGGGCCGCGGCTCCGTCAGCTGCAGCAGAACCACCCGTGCGTTAGGTCGAGCCGAGCCAGGGCCCCCGGTGCTCCGTCGCGGCTCCGTTCGCTCCCTCCCTCCTGCCCTCCCTTCCTCCCGGCGGCCGCGGCGACGAGCCGGGGAAGCGGCCGAGGGGAGTGGCCCGGCCCTGGAAGAATGCTGCTCCGCCGAGGGGGCCGGACCCGGCACAACCTCCCCACGGTTTAAGTCCCAGGAGTCCAAGGGACCCAGTGCGGTGACCTTGCACCTGAACCGCTGGAGGTAATGGGGAGGGAGAGAACGGGGGTGGGGTGGGGGGACAAACAGCGGCCACCCTCAGGAGCTCAGACAGCTCAGAGAGCCAGAGACACAGCTAGAGGTACCTACAGGATAGAGACCGTAGGGACCGGCCGGTGGCGCGCCGCGGAGGGAGCGTGGAGCCAGGAAACAGGGTGGACGGTGGCCTCCCGGGCTGCCTCTGCGGCACCTGGACCTCTCCCCCTCGGGGCGCGGGGTCGGAGGGGGTCTGAGAGCCTGGCCCGTCCCGGCTGGCTCGCCTGCGCCGTCGCCAGCGCGAGGAGGCGTCGCCCCTCCAGGTGGCGGGGAACCCCCTCCCGAGCCCTCCCTCTAACCCTGCCAGGGCGGGTTCATCAGTCGTGGGGCCTCCGACAGGGAGCGGGCGGTGAGCAGGGAACCGAGGGGCTGAGAGCAAGTGTCCCCGGCAGGCATGTGAGTGTCCCGGACCCCGCAAGCCCGCGGTGGCTGGGTGGGACTCGGGGCGCTCCCGAGGGCCCTGAGCTGCCTGGACCCTTCCTCCCTGACGGGTCCCAGAACCCAGACACTGGAGGTCAAGGGGTGACTATCACTGTTCAGTTCGTGGAGGGCTGAGAAAAGCCAGCGGGTCCACAGCGGCGGCCTAAGGGTCCGAGGCGAGCATCCCCCGGTCCCAGGGAGCTACTATTCCATTCCTCATCAGAGCCCCCGTCCCGCAGGCGCTGACTGCTTCGCCCACCGGAGCCTCCGGGCTTCGACATGCTGGAGGAGCCCGGGTCTCGGCCTCCGCCCCTGGGCCTCGCGGGTCTCCTGCTCCTGGCTTTGTTCAGTCGGTGAGCATCTTTCAAGCTATGGGGGGGGGGGGGGGGGGCGCCGGCCGGGGCGGGGCGAGGGCGGGGAGCTGAGTCGGGGGACGCGCAGCTGGACTGGAGCTCCTCGCCCCTCGTTCCCAGGGCTCTGAGCAATGAGATTCTGGGCCTAAAGCTTCCCGGGGAGCCGCCGCTGACGGCCAACACCGTGTGCCTGACCCTGTCCGGCCTGAGCAAGCGGCAGCTGGGCTTGTGCCTGCGCAGCCCCGACGTGACGGCGTCCGCGCTCCAGGGCCTGCACGTCGCCGTGCACGAGTGTCAGCACCAGCTGCGCCACCAGCGCTGGAACTGCTCGGCGCTGGAGGGCGGCGGCCGGCTGCCACACCGCAGCGCCATCCTCAAGCGCGGTGAGCAGGACCCGGCGGCTGTCTGCGCGGCCGCCCAGGGGTGGGGGGCAGGCCGGGGCGCGCGGAGGCGGGAAGGGACCGGCTCACGGCTTGGGGAGGGGCCTCTCCGGGAATTTCCCCAGGAGCTGCGCTCAGCTGGGTCTGGTCACCCGTCTGGGCCCCTGCCCGCCCGCCTTCCACCTGCGTTGCTGGCGAGGCAGCTGGGTCCCTGCTCCCCTTACCCTAGGGCCTCCCTCTTCTGCCTCCACCCAGCTCGAGCTGGGATGCACCTGTGAGCAAGAGATACCCCAAACCCAAGAAGCTTCAAACACCCCCTCTACCCCCTATTTTCCTCTCCCCTCCTTCTCCGCCTAGACAAGCCCAGGCTGGTGTCCCCTGAGTCTCAGCGGGGGTGGGGTGACGCCCCCAACCGTTTAAGGGTTAAACCTGCTCCCCTAATTGCTGGGGTTCCCAGGAGCCAAAGCTGGGAACAAAGACCCCGATGGCTTTGAAGCTGGGGAGCAGCCCCTCCTCTGTGCTGTGGGGGCCCCAGGTGGCCCTCACCTGAACAGGTGAGGGATGGCTGGAGGGCCACAGAACAGGTCACTGCTGGCCTGCTCCAGGAGAAACGGTCTGGGAGGCTCCATTGCCTCCCCCTATGCTCAGCTGGAGTTTACTCCCTGAGGAGCGAAGACCCGAGGGAGCTCCAGTCCAGGGCTAGGGTAATGCTTTGGGGACTATGGAGTTAACAGGCAGCTGCCATCTGCAGGGGAATTCCCAAAACATGTGCAAACAGCTTCACCCTTGGATGGTTGGGGGATCTTGAGGCTGGCCCTGGAGCCCTAGATTCCCTGGTAAGAGGGGCCTGGCCTCCAACTGTCTTTCATCTTCTCAGCACTCCACAGTGGCCTTGCTTAAAACTGAGGTGAGGGACCCCTCCTTCTCCTCAGGGCCCAGGACAGTGCGAGGTTTTGACACCCAGATATCTGGTGAGGATGTCTCTCTAGGCCTGCCTGGGAAAGATATTTGTCATCCCAAGCCTCCTCCTCCGCCTTGGTGACCCTCAAAACATAACAAAGAGGCCAACCTTTTAAAAGGGCCTGGGGGGAAATTACCCCTGCCTTTCTCCTTCTCCCAGGATTTTATAAGGTAATAGCAGGTTAGAATAAACATAAAGGGAAGTATAAAACTAAAACCTGGGAAAGGGGGTGGGCAGCTCCAGCCTGTTAGGGTTGCTGCATGACAGCCTGGTTAAAAGACTCATTTAATAAGGCGGGGGGGGGGGGGGAGAACCCCATAGCCAGAGGTTCCCTCTCCTTCCTCACTCCTCACCGAGGTCCCTCCAGTGTTGGGGAATTTCTAAGGCGTTTAGACTCAGAAGTCCTGGAACACAGCTTCAAAGTCCTCAGGACTCTTCTGGAACTCTTTCAAGCCCAGAGGGCTCTCTGGGCCAGTGGTTCTCAACCTGAGGGTTTCCACCTCAAATATCAGCCAACCTGGGTACCGCATATTACATAACAAGTAATACATGGCAAATTTACAGATATGAAGTAGCAAAGAAATCATCTTATGGTTGGGGGTCTCCACCGCATGGAAGGCTATTTTAAGGGTCACAGCATTAGCAAGGTTGAGAACCACGGTCCTAGGCTATCTCTTATATTCATGCTCCAAAATGACAGATTTACAGACGTTTGGCTTAGTAAGGTCTTGACCCCATGGGTCTCTTTTTAGAGCTGAGGGAACTGAGGCCGGGTGTGATATCCTGTCTTGGGACATTGTCCCAAATCACTCAGCTGGTAAATGACTGAGTCAGGATTCAGTTAGAAATTTCTGGCCAGAGGCAATGAGGCATACCTGTAATTCCAGCACTCTAGAGGCAGGGGCAGGTGGATCTCAGTGAGTTCGAGGCCAGCCTGGTCTACAAAGTGAGTCTAGGATAGCCAAGGCTACACAGAGAAACTCTGTGTCCAAATAAATAAATAAATAAATAAATAAATAAATAAATGAATAACTAAAATTCTGACAACATTGCTGGTTGTGGTGGTGGCTCACACCTGCAATCCTAGCACTTGGGAGGCTGAGGCAGGAAGAGTTTCAAGAGTTCAGGGCTGGAGAGGACTCAGTGGCTAAGAGCAATGGCTGCTTTTCTGGAGGTCCTGAGTTCAATTCCCAGCAACTACATGGCGGCCATTTATGATGGGATCTGATGCCCTCTCCTGACATGTACAGGAAGACAGAGCATTCATATGATAGGTAAATAAATCTTTTAAAAAGGAGAGTTCAGTGCCAGGGTCTAAGTAGCAAGACCCTATTTGGAAAAAACAAAGAAACAAACCGTTGATGTTGAGGATGGCAGGTCATCCCTCCCCCACCTCCCTTCCACCTCAGCTGCCAACTTCACCCTGACCCTCAGGCCTGTTTCCTCCCCAGGTTTCCGTGAGAGCGCCTTCTCCTTCTCCATGCTGGCTGCCGGGGTCATGCACGCTGTTGCCACAGCCTGCAGCCTGGGCAAGCTGGTGAGCTGTGGCTGCGGCTGGAAGGGTAGTGGTGAGCAGGACAGGCTCCGGGCCAAGCTCCTGCAGCTTCAGGCGCTGTCTCGGGGCAAGAGTTTTCCTCACTCACAGCCAGGCCCTGGCCCCAGCTCCGGCTCCGGCCCTGGCCCCCAGGACACGTGGGAGTGGGGTGGCTGTAACCACGACATGGACTTCGGGGAGAAGTTCTCTCGGGACTTCTTGGATTCCAGGGAAGCTCCTCGCGACATCCAGGCTCGGATGCGAATCCACAACAACAGGGTGGGGCGCCAGGTGTGTGAACTCACCAGGCCTGTCGCTAAGGCCAGCTTGCCTCAGCCCTTCTCCCTCCCTCCCTCCTGAGAGGCCCCCTGAAGAGTAATAGGATGAGGTGTGATGAGTGCTCTTGTTACTAGCCAGCTTGTCACCCAAGACATGTTGAGCAGCTATAGGAAGCTTGAGTTAGTGTGTCTGCATGTGTACCACTTGTGTGCCCGGTACCCTCAAAGGAGAGGGTGTGGGGTCCCTGGAACTGGAGTTATAGGCAGTTGTGAGCCACCATGTGGGTGCTGGGAATTGAACCCAGGTCCTCTGGAAGAGCAGCCAGTGCTCCTAGCTACTGAGCCCTCTCCAGCCCTGAATATACTGTATTTTATATGTGCCTAGTGCTTGGCTCATTGCATAGAAACTGTTACAGCAGCTGACTTCCCCACAGACTTTAGGGGCCTTCTGGCCAACCTTCCCCCTTCCCCCATTTGTTTCTGGAAAGAGCACTGGACTGGGAGTTAGACAAGTGGGAATTCTATCCTTGTGAGCTAGTGATCAAACGTGGCTAAATCACGTGGATCTGCCCTCCTCTGCTGAGGAAGCTGGGCTAGTGGCTCCCTCTCCCGTGTCCCCCGGCGCTGTTCGATTGTAACCCCTCCCTCCCCTCCCTAATCGCCGCTCTGATGTTCCAGGTGGTCACAGAAAACCTAAAGCGGAAGTGCAAGTGCCACGGCACCTCAGGCAGCTGCCAGTTCAAGACGTGCTGGAGGGCAGCCCCAGAGTTCAGGGCCATCGGGGCGGCCCTGAGGGAGCGGCTGGGCAGGGCCATCTTCATCGACGCCCACAACCGCAATTCCGGAGCCTTCCAGCCCCGCCTACGGCCCCGCCGCCTCTCGGGGGAGCTGGTCTACTTCGAGAAGTCCCCCGACTTCTGCGAGCGGGACCCCAGCGTGGGCTCCCCGGGCACGAGGGGACGGGCGTGCAACAAGACCAGCAGCCTGCTGGATGGCTGCGGCAGCCTGTGCTGCGGCCGTGGGCACAACGTGCTCCGGCAGACGCGCGTGGAGCGCTGCCACTGCCGCTTCCACTGGTGCTGCTTCGTGCTGTGTGAGGAGTGCAAGGTCACGGAGTGGGTCAGCGTGTGCAAGTGACGGGGCCTCGCCGCCCTGGGGCCGAGGGGGACCGCCGGGCAGGGGCGCTCGCCTTCAGCCCTCCGCTCTGCTTTCTGTGCAGGGTTAGCCGTCGCCCCTGGAAAGCTCAGTGTCTACCAGCTCAGTGTCTACCTGGAAACAGCTTTGGGGGAGTAGGGTCAGGGGAAACCTGTGATGTGAGTGTCTGTGTGTGTGTGTGTGTGTGTGTGTGTGTGTGTGTGTGTGTGTGTGTGAGACGCGGCCACCCTATTCTGTTCTGAAACACCCAAGCAGACCAAGATGAAGTGCGCTGCGTGGCTGCCCTCTCTTCATCCAGATTCTTGCTCCTGTGTGTGGAGTCCACCGCTTGGCCACGCCTCTCCCCTTGCAGGGTACCAGCAGGCGCTGTGTGGAGTCCTTAAGACCTGTACAAGGCAAGACAACACCTCTTCCCGCCTGCGGTTCTCAGACTCCTCCTCTTAGGGAGCCATGGGTGACAGTAATGAGAGGTTTTCGGTTGGAAAAGGACGGAGTGCGGGACGTCTCCTCTAAGCCCTCAGACAGCTGTCTTGTCAGCTCTGGGGGAGTTTTTCTCCTTCCATTCAGTTGTTGAAAGGGTCCCTCCAAAGGAAATTTTTTTTTTTTTGCTGTAACTCTTGGAAGCTCTTTTTCCTTATTGAGGGGGATGGATAATTTATTGTACTGAGACATGTTCTTGGTTCCTGTTTGAAACTAAAATAAATTAAGTTGCTGGCCTAGTGGACTGTGGATGCAGAGGTCGGCACGGGGTCGCAGCCTGTGGCTTTTTTCCTGGGTGAAGCCTGCACTGATGTGCTCAGTGACTTTGTATGTATATTCCGCTGGCTGCCGCAAAGGATTTGAAATGATGCTCAGTTACTGGGTTCAGACTTTTAGTCTGTAAAACTGAGGTGGACTGCTGGGCAGAGGGACTGATAGACCCAAATGTACTTAAACCCTGTTCACCCTGAGCCCTGCTCCAGGGATCACCTTCATGAGAACTTAGAACACAGGTTGTGGCCTGTTTGTTTGTTTTTTCCTGCGAAGGGCTAGATGGTAAATATACTAGGTTATTTATATTGTGGTCTTTATGTCAACGACTCACCTCTCCCGTAATTACTCACTTCTGCTGTTTTAGACCCAAAATACTTATGGGCAGGGGATGGACAAAAGCAGACACAGCCACACATAAATGGATGGGTAAAGCTGTGTTCAACAGTTCATAAAAACGGTGTGCAGGTGCAGACCCGGTCCTCTGGCTGTTGTTTGTTGACCCCTCTGCCATACTACAAGGTCATCTGCTCTGGGAGTTTCATGTCTTAAATGTGTCTTAACAATTAATCGGACTATAAAAGAGTAGGTGTTATTGTCTCTAAGTCCAAACCAGAGTGCATGCAAAGCTGATGGGGACTATGAAAGGGAGTCCTGTGTTCAAAACGCAAATTTTTTGTTGCTGCTGAGGAAGGGTCTCACTGTGTATGCCAGGCTAGCTGGGAAGTCTGTATCCCAGGCTGGCCTCAGACTCCATTCTGCTCTTATTCTCCTGGGCCATGGGATTACAGACAGGCCTTATCAGGCTCAGCTAAAATTAGATACTTCAAGCAAAACTAGCATTGTCTGCCACTGAATTATTTGCATATATATTTTCCTTTATTCCACTGTTGTTTTGTATTTAATCTGAGTAAAATAATTCCTTTAGCTTTTAATTTTTTTCTACATTTATTTGTGTGTGTGTGCATGCTCATGCGCGTGAGTGTGAGCGTGAGTGGAGGCAGGCCTGTCATGGCAGGACACCTTGCAGAAGCCAGCTTTCTCCTTTTACCATATGGGTTCCAGTGACTGAATTTAGGTCTTCAGGTTTGGTGGCAAGCAGCCTTCCCTGCCGGGCCATCCTGCTGGTCACTCCCTTATCTTTTCAGATATAACTAGAAAGAATAGACTTTCTTCTACAATATCTCCAATTCCTAGGCCAATATATTTTTCAAGGAAACATTTTTAAGATGCAGTGTGGTGGGAGCTGGAGAGATGGTTAAGAACACTGGCTGTTCTTCCAGAGGATCCAGGTTCAATTCCCAGCACCCAAACGGCAGTTTGCAAATGTCTATAGCTCCAGTCCCAGGGGATCTGACACTCTCACACAGATATAAAGGCAGACAAAACACCAATGCACATAAAATAAGAATAATAAATTGTCTGGCTCGGAGGCAGAAGTAGGCGGATCCCTGTCAGTTTGATGCCAGCCTGGTCTACAAAGTGAATTCTAGGACAGCCAGGGCTGTTACACAGAGAAACCCTGTCTCTAAAAAACAAAACAAAAAAACAAAAACAAAAAGAGAGAGAGAGATTAAATAAATAGTTAAAGGCGCCAATGTGGGCAAAGGCCCTGCAGCAGGCCTTCGGAACCCCTGAGTGCTCAGGGGATAGGGAGTGCTCCCAGGGAGGTTGCAGAGGACACGGACTCAGTTCCCAGCACCACATGGTGGCTCATAAACACCAGTCCAGGGGATTCAGTGCCCTTGTCTGGCTTCTGCAGGCTCCCACACACCCATGGCACAGAGACAGACTCGTGGGCAAGACATACAGAAAATAAAAACAAATATTTGTTAAAAAAAAAAAAAAAGATTTTGCCAGAGAGTACAGAAATAACTCCCTGCGCTTCTCCAGGTAATAAATAAATATGTCTGCTGCCCAAGTTCCCCTGAAGTCTGCGGAGAGCACCAGGCCACAGGAGAGTATGGGGAGTGTTGTATCAGGCCAGTACTCCTCGGTGACATTAAATTTGTTTATTTTGGGAGGCCAGGTGTGGTGGTGCACACCTTTAATTCCAGAACTCAGGAGACAGAGGCAGATAGATCTCTGAGTTTGAGGCCAGCCTGGTCTATAAAGTGAGTCCAGGAAAGCCAGGGCTACACAGAGAAACCCTGTCTCAAAAAAAAACCAAAACCAAAACCAAAACCAAAAAAAGAGTACCTGCTGCTCTTGCAGAGGACCTGGGTTTGATTCCCAGCTCCCACATGGCAGCTCACAACTGTCTGTAACTTCAGCTCCAAGGGATCCAACACCTTATTCTGACTTCCACAGGCACTAGGCATGCGCGTGGTATGCAGACACACATGCAGGCAAAACACTCATATACACAAGTAAATCTAAGTTTTAATATATATGTGCATGTATAAATATCCAGAAGAGAGGCTTGAATGCCCTGGGTCTGAAGTTTTAGGGTGTTGTGAGCTGCCTGGCCTGGGTGCTGGGAGGGAATCCAGGTCCTCTGTTAAGCCATTTTCTTAGCTCCATGGCAACAGCTTGTCAGGAGATGTCAGACACATGATGCTGACCTAAGGTGTGAATGAGGAGAGGAAGAAAGGAGGCCGAAGTGAGACTGGGCCTGGATATGACCAAGAATAACAGAATAACCAGTGTGGAGACGTCTTACGTCCAGGAAGGAGCCCTCTCCAATAGTGTTACAGCAAGAACATTTTACCATTTTCCTGTCTCCTTCCTCTGTAGTCCTCTGGCTCCCTTTCCTTTTTAGCTTTCCGTCTTCTTTCATCACACTCTCTGTGGCAAACTTAAGCCCCAAACCACAACCTTGATGAATTCCAATTGGATTTTGTCAGCAAGGCAACACCCCCTCCCAGCAGGCACACGCACTGGGCTCAGGCCCAGGTCTGGGGTCTGTGATGGGGTGGGAGTACGCAACCCACAGAGCTGGTGGCTACAGTTTCAGCTTTTCCTGGGCTCCAGTGCCAGCTGGATGAAGGGGGGGAAGACGGAGGAACTCTAAGTCAGGCTGCTGGGCCTCCTGGAACTCTAAATACGCTCTCGGTCCTTCGTTCTTTACCAAATGGCTAGGAAGTTGAGAGTGGTGGTGAGCAGCTACTTGCCAGCAAGGTGGGCCTTCTAGCTTTGCTCCTGTTTGCATCAAGGCCAGCCCTCTCGATGCTACAGCTGGCCCTTTCCTTTCCATGCACCAGAAGGGTAAAGGACAGAAGATCCGAGTGATTCACCAGTCACATCCAAAGTCAGACAGCAATTCCTCCTAGCCATAGGAAGCTGCCGGCTGTGTCCATCTTTCCTTCACTCTGGCATGCAGCATGAGAGGATTCAAAGTCTTCATTCACCAGCAGCTTCCGCCTCCCTGTTGGGGTTCCACAAAGCATGCTGGTGTGGTGGGGCGCGAGGGAGTGGGGTGAGTGGCTGTAAAGTGTGCGTGGGTTATAACCTGGTGGGGTGCTGCTAGAAAGCTTTAGGGAAGAAATGGTAATAACCGCATAAAAAGCTTGCCACAGGACCCGCTGGTGAATGTGAAACTGTCTTAAGGTTTCCATTGCTGTGATGATCACTGTGACCAACAGCCTGAGGAGCAATCGATTTCTTTCCGCTCACAGATTAGATGGCTCATCACTGAGGGAAGCCAGGCAGAAATTCAGGGAGGCAGGAGCCGAAACATTCTTCCCTTCTTTGGCAGGATCTCTTCTGTGTAGCCCTGGCCGTCCTAGAACTTGCTCCTCAGACTAGGCTGGCCTCCAACTCAAAATTATCTACCTGCTTCTGCCTTCTGAATGCCAGGATTAAAAGGTGTGTACCTACATAGCTGGCTCAGCTTGTTTTCTTAGTTTTTTCCTAATATTGGAACTTATTTTTATGTGCACGAGTATTTTGCCTACACTATACGTATGTCTATGTTCCATAGCAACCATAGAGGCCAGAAGAAGATTCCCTGGGACTGGAGTTACTGATGGTTGCTAGCCATCATGTGGGTGCTGGGAATCGAACCAGGTTCACGGAAAGAGCAGACTGTGCCCTTAACCTCGAGCCATCTAACCAGCCCTCATCTGCCACCCTATAAAATTCAGGGGTGGCACTGCCGCTCCTGGGCCCTCCCATATTAATCATCAATCAAGAAAAAGAAATTCCCACAGGCCAATCTGGTGGAGCATTTTCTCAAATTTCCTCCCTTTCCCCAAATAACTACAGCTCAAACTGGTCAGTACAACTGACCCCTTGTGAATTTGACACACATCACTATTCAACTAGAACCTTTCCTTTCTCAGTGGCCCCCACCCAATATGGCACGTTAATATCAGTATAACGATATAGAACATTCCAATGTTTAAATTTCCCAGTTGTTAAAAATTCAAACATTTAAAAAATTCAGTTTCTCTTAAAACATCCAAAGTCTCTTTTAAAGTTCAACGTTTTTCTAAAATATTCAAAATCTCTGTAAACTTCCAAAGTCTAGTGGAGTTCTGTAAAATAAAAAAAGTTACATACCTTATTACTTTGAAAAGGAAAAACCAGGGCAACTATAAACAAATCAAAACAAAACTGAAGTCCAACACTGCAGAAAGTTCAGTGCTGGGACCAATGCGTGACCTGCTCTGTTTTGCCAGCTCTGCCAGCTCGTCTCCTGGGCTCAGGCCAGCTCTATTCTACAGTGGCTCTGTCCTTGGCAGTTGTCCCATGGTACTGGAATCTCCAAAATGCTGAGGTCTCTGCTACAACCTGGCTGCGCCTTCACCCATAGCTTCTCCTTCCCTCTCTTCCTTTTTTTTTTTTTTTTTTTTTGAGACAGGGTTTCTCTGTGTAGCCCTGGCTGAGCCGGACTCGCTTTGTAGACTAGGTTGGCCTCGAACTCACAGAGATCTGCCTGCCGCTCCTCTGCTGGGTTTACATGCCATGTGCCACTGTGCCTGGTCTCTCTCTCTCCTTTGTAAGGGACTCTAACCCTGCCATGTGGTGTCAGTAGACCAGGCTGGCCTCAGACTCAGAGATCCACTTGCCTCTGCCTCCCATGTGCTAGATTAAAGGCCTATGCCACCACACTGAGCTGCTGTTCTTCTCATCCCAGCTGATTCTTCAGCCCCAGCTGACCAGGATCAATTGTCCAAGCAAAGTGAAAGTTTCTCTTCAGTTGTTCATTGTTTTGAGATGGGGTCTCCCCACATAGCTCTGGCTGGTGTGGAGCTCACTATGTTGATCGGGCTGGCTCTGAACTCACAGAGATCCATCTGCTTCTACCTCCAGGGCATGAGCCACCACACCTGTTCTTGATTCAAAAGGTCAGATGTAGAATCTTTAAGGGGCTCTCAGATTTCTCTCTGTAACTTCATAAGCCAGGTGTCCTTCATCTGTCCTGCTTTCAGCATTATCTGCTAGGTTCCCACAGTAGCCTACTGAGCTCTGAGCACACAATGGCTTTTCCAGCCCAGAGTTCAAATGTAACCACAATCCTTCCCAAAACACATTGTCTGGTCTGTCACAGCAATATCTTACTCCTCCTATCAATTTCTGTCTCAGTTAGGGTTTCTTCTGCAGTTATAAAACATGATAACAAAATGCAACTTGAGGAGGATAGGGTTTATCGCATTTTACAGATCACAGCTCATCACTGAGTTGGAAGTCAGGACAGGAACTCAGGGTAGAAACCTGGAGGCAGTAACTGAAGTAGGGGCCATGAAGGAGTGCTGCTTATAAATAGGCTTGCTCAGCCTGATTTTTATTTATTATTTATTTTTTCCGAGAGGGTTTCTCTGTGTAGCCCTGGCTGTCCTGGACTCTTTGTAGACCAGGCTGGCTTTGAACTCACAGAGATATGTTTGTCTCTGCCTCCCTGAGTGCTGGGATTACACGTGTATGCCACCATGCCCCAGCTTCAGCCTGATTTCTTATATAAGTCAGAACCATCTGCTCAGGGGTGATACCTCTTACAGTGAGGTTGGCCTCCTTGATTATCAGTCAAAGAAAATATCCTACTGGCTTGCCCACAGGCCAAGCTGATGAAGCCATTTTCTCAGTTGTTCTCTCTTTCCACATGGCTCTAGCCTGAGTCGAGTTGACATAAAACTAGCCAGCACAGAAACTATATTTTGGGGAGCCTTTTGCTTTAAAAAACCTAGAGTGTGGGCTAGGGAGCTAGTCCGGACCATTAAAAGTGCTTGCAAGACAAGCCTGATGAGACTGATCCCTGGAACCTATGTAAAAAGCTGGAGAGAGATCAGGCTTTTACTCTCAGTAAAAGCCTCTAGAGGACCTGGTTCCCAGCACTCGTGCGGAGCAGCTCACAATTGCTTACAACTCTGCCTCCAGGGGATCTTAAGTTTCCTCCCTGCAGCAGACACCCACACTCACGGCACACACTTACACACGTGGACGTGTGAATACACATAATTAAAAATAACCCGTTTGGCTGGGTGTATGGCATACATCTTTAATCTCAGCACCCAGGAGGCAGAGGCTGGTAGATTTTCTATGAGTTCAATGGCAGCTTGGTCTATAAAGTGAGTTGTAGGCCAGGCTACACAGTGAGCTCCGTCTCTAAGAAAACCAAAATAAAAACCAACAAATTTTCTCGTTTTTCTAGACAGGATTTCTCTGTGTAGCCCTGGCTGTCTGGAACTCACTCTGCAGACCAGGCTGGCCTCAAACTCAGAGATCTGCCTGCCTCTGCCTCCCCAGGTCTGGGATTAAAAACGGGCACCAACATCGCCTGACCAGCCATGTTATTCTTGAGGTAAACATATGAGAGCAGACAAACTGGTATAAGAGGAGCTGGTGAGTGCATAAACCAGATGAATGTGACAAGGGACAGACACTGATCGTCACTTTCCAGCCTATTTCTTGGAAAAAGAGGAGAGTGCTGATTCTGCGTCAAGTTCTATGTGATCTGTTACACACCGCACACTTAAAGAACGTGGCAGTTTCTAGCACAGTTTGTCAGTAGTCTCGGGCAGTGTCTCATCACGCTAAAAGGCTGTAAGGGGCGCTAGGAGGGGACGTGGGTGCTCTTTCCATGGGATACTAATGTTCATAGGCATGTAGGGAGCCTTCATCAGACATTCAGACATCAGACATTCATCAGAGCCGCGTCCAAATAATTTGTGTTTCTGCCCTTCGTATTTCAAGTCTAACTTCCTAGACGACCCAGATCCAGATTTTTTTTTTTTTTTTTTTAAACAGTGCTCTGGGACATGCCATATGCTATTTAACCATGAGCTGTTACAACCACGGGGTCATTCCACATGAAATGGCACTGTGTACATAAAAGCCACCCTTACTGTTTTTTAAAATAATTTATTCAATTTTATGTGCATTAGTATGAAGGCGTCAGATCCCTTGGAATTGGAATCACAGACAGTTGTGAGCTGCCATGTGGTTGCTGGGAATTGAATTGCTGGGAAGTGCAGACGGTGCTCTTAACTACTGAGCCATCTCCCCAGCCCCCCGATGTCTCTTTAGTATCTTGACTGCATCATTCTCTCTCCTCTTCCTTTGTGAGAAGCAATCTCTCGAGGCAGCCCTCAAAGAAACTACCCTTAGGAATTAATGAGTTGAGCGGCGAAGCAGATGAAGCGTTCTTTACTAGAAATAAGGCTGCTGGAGTAGGGTAGGTGAGGGCATCTCTATCCATGTTCCCCTTAGGCTCTGCCTAACAAGTCCCAGAGACGCCCTTGCCCGAGCCCTGGCTCCAGTGCAGCCAGAATGTGGCCTCGGTCCTAGTTCCAGGCAAGGCCATGGAATTAAGCTGGGAGCCTCACCTCGCACACATCTCCACACTCAGCCTTCGGATCTTGCAGCCCCCACACAGGCCCCCGCCTCGACTCAGCTTCAGCACCGGGCTGCTTTTGCTGCAGCCGCTGCCATGGTGATGGGTCTCGCGAGAGCTGCCGCTCGCTACCGCGCACTTCTCGCGCGATCGTGGAGGTGGGAAGTATCCCGGCCTGGGGGTGGGGGTTCGCAGCACAGCTCCTGTCGCCGTCGCGGCTTCCGGTGCTAGGTGGAGGGAAGGAAGGAGGGAGCCGGGGAGCGGGCCAGCGGACCAGCTTCGCCGCGGTCGGCTTGGGGAGCGGGAGGAGGCAGCGGCCCGAGAGCCAGGCGGAACCTGCGGAGGCGGCGGTGGCAGCCGCGGCGCCGGGAGCAGGAACAGGTTCGGAGCCGGAGAGGGAAGGCGGGTCCGGGCAGGGAAGAGGGTGGGAGCCCGAAGTCCCCCGCCGAGGTCCGGTCCGCACTGCCGGGCGAGGCGCGGTGGGCAGTCCTCGCAGAGCTGGGGGCGGGGGACCCCAGCCGCACTGCTGCCGCCGCAGCTGAAGGACGCTGAGCGGGGGTGGGGGCGGGGGCCGCGCACGGATTTGTCCTCCGCCTCGCCCGAGAGGGCGACCTGGGCTGCGGAGGTGAGCTTTCGAGGGTTGGGGTTTGAGGGGGAGGCAGGCTGACCAGTGGGAGGTGATGCGGGGGCGGTGTGGCTGTTTGGATCTTTCCCTTCTGTTTAAGGGCTCCGAGGAATGTTGCCTTTTCTCTCTCCCTCCCCCGCCTGAGCTGTGGGGGGAAACCAAAGAAAAAGCCTGGCTGTGGTTATTCTCCCTCACCCATCGTGAGGCACGGGCTCTGGGCCTTAGCATCGGGGCCTACTGGTGGGGCACCGCTGCGCAGTGTTCTCACGGAGGTTGCGCTCTGCTTTGGGGTGTTGGGAAGGGCAGGTTGGGAAGAGGGCAGCAGGTGGGGAGAGGGTGGGGAGGAGGCTGGAGAAGGGGGAGGGGGACCTGAGCTAGCTTGCTTGGAGGAGAGAGGTGGGGCCTTCCTCCCCCAGGCGGAGCGGGGGCGGTCTCTTGTAAAGAGGAGGGAGCATCTTGTCACTGGCCCTGAGTTTGTGTCTTCCAATCCGCTTTTCTCTAGGAAGTACCAGGATTCCCGGAACAGAAAATGAAGCCATTGCTTACGCCAATCCTTTGAAGGAAGGAGGGGGTGGTGGGGAGGCAAAGTTCCCTGTTAAAACTCAGGGCTGATTAGTTAAGTGGTGACTCTTTTTTTTTGGAGAGACTTGTTCTTTTGGGGGGTTATAGTACTGCTGGTCTCTGGGCCAGGAAGAATGTGGTGGAGGAGTGTGTGGTTATAGCAAGAAGAAAATAGTGAGGTCATTAGGGTGAGGGAGAAGGTAACGGAAAACCTGTCTCTGCTGCTGTTGGATTGGGTCACCCTTGGGTCTGTGGCATGAAAGTTTTATTGGGAGGAGATCTGCCGCAGGAGTCTGATTGCTTGAGTCATTGCAACAGGATAGAATCTAGTCTCCGCATACCTCCGTCTCTGTCCCCAGTCAGGTAGATGGAGACTGTCTCTGCTGCCATTTTGTCTTAGACCTGTTTGGGGTAGTGTGTCGCTTGTGTGTGGCGGTGGCCAGAGGACTGGTCGTTTGAGTATTGGACCTGAGTGTGAGTGAATTGTTAAAGCTCATTCTTAGAAAGGCTCGATTTGCTTAAGTTCAGCTTTTCACAGAACGAATTGTTGACCTTAGAGGCAGCTGGAAAAGGCTCCCATGTGTCACATATCCATCTCCTGCTGGCTTGTCGGCTCTTCTTTCCTTCCCTCTCCCCACCTTACTTTGTTTGAGACAGGGTCTCTCTGTATAGTCCCCTTGTTGGCCTCAAACTCGCAGCTGCCGGCCCCAGTCTCTTGAGTTCCGAGGCCGAAACAGACCCCTACTTCCTTTTTTGAGATAAGCTGGGTTTGAACTTAATCTTGGTTTATAGGGTAGACACGGGATGGGAATGTATAGAACTCTGCGAAGTTTCTAGTTACAGCATCAGGAGAAGGGAAGGATAGCCAGTATGGTGACACAGGCCTGTAATCTCAGCATTAGGAAGATGAAGCAGGAGGATAGTGTTTTAGGCCCATCTGGGTTACATAGCAAGACTGTCTCAAACAAAATAAGTAAAAACAAAAAACCTGATGTATTTGGAGGTAGTTGAGCAGTTGAGACGTCTTGTCAGGTCTTAAAATCGACACTGTAGTATGTGTTCATCTAAACCCTTTTTCAGTCCTTAAGGACAGAGGCAGTCTCCAGTGATTAGAAGGAGAAACTTCTTTAAAACCATGTTTGTTAAGGCTGAGATTGTAACTGAGAGAAATTGTGACATCTGCTTCCTCACATAACTTTAGAAACAGATACCAAGATGCCTGAGAGTTGGCTGGGTGCGGTGGTGCACCCCTGTGATCCAGCACTCAGGGAGGCAGAGTTTTGAGGTGGGCCTGGTCTACAAAGGGAGTCCTGGACAGCCATGGCTACACAAGAGAACCCTGTCTCAAAAGGAAACAAAAGGCCTGTGAGTCAAAACATACCTGTGGGTTTGGCTTCTTTCACCATTTTGGCTGAAGGTGCTTTTGGAGACAGAAAACTGTAGTAATTGAAGGTGGGCTGTAGGAGCAGACAAAAAGGCAGTGGATTCATCTCCTGTCCATGCTGTTTTATTGTATGTATTTGCTAAAATTACTTGCTTTCACTTAGTCTCATTTTCCGTGTGCATAAATGGCACAACGGTGGCAGCTACCCAGCAGGGCTGCCGTGGGAATTAAATGAGATAATAAATGTCAAATACTGAGTATTGTAAGATGCACCAACCAGAGAGTGGGAGCTGTGCTTAACAACCTACCACGATAAGGATGGCATGAGTGCTCAGGGCGGCCTAAAAGAGAGGAAGTTCACAGAAGAGCAATTTGGTGCCCATGTGAAGGGACAGTTGTGACAGTGACTTTGAATAGACCCTTTTAAGTGGTGGCCTTCTTTCAGCCTCAGCTTTTAGAGGTGGCTCTTGCTTAAGCAGGAGGTGAAGCTGGAGCCAGGGACAGGCCAATAGCCAGCCTCTTGGATGTAAGGCCAGGGGTTATCCGGAGTAGTGTCAGGTGGGGGTGGTTTGTTTTTCAGTTTTTCCAGACAGGGGTTCTCTGTGTAGCCTTGGCTGTCCTGGACTCATGCTATAGACCAGGCTGGCCTCAAATCCACCTGCCTCTGCCTCCCCAGTGCTGGAATTCCAGGAGTGTGCTTCTGTTCCAGTGTCCGGAATGGTGTTTATTAGAAAGGTCACTGTAGGGCTGCTGAGATGGTTCAGTGGATAAAAGCTCTTGCCACCAAGTTTGAAGATTTGAGCTTGAGTCCCCACTCCTGCCCTGGCACACTTGGTAGAAGGAGACAACTGATTCTTGTAAAGATACTTTCTTGCCTCCAGACGAAATGATGTAACAGAATAGAAAAGCCAGTCTAAAGCTGGGTGTGATGAGTGTGGCCTGGATGTAATCCTGGCTCTTGGGAGGTAGAGGCCAGTGGAAGCTATGTGAGACTTCGTTTAAATAACAAGCAGCCCCCACCCCGAGTTGCTCACTGGTTAGAGTTTGGTTGGCGTCCTGTTCCCACTCCCACCTGAGGCGCTCAGGACATCTGTAGCTTCAGCTCCAGGAGATCTAGCCACCTCCGGCCTCCTGGGGCACTGCACGTGTGCATGCGCACACACATAATTCGATAATAATAGTAATTCGAGGATGGGGCTGAAGAGGTAGTCGTCAGTCAAGAGCACTTGCCCTTGCAGAAGGTCCCAGTTTCCTTCCCCAGTGTCCGTTCTTTTACCTGCACGTGGGACATGGTGTACCTCTGCCCACATATAGCACATGCACACGAAATAAAAGTGTAATTAAACCTTTTTTACTGCTACAGAGATGGTTCAGGAGTTGCTCCTATCTAGTGCCCTTGTTGGGCATTTCTGACTGTCTCAGCTGGAGTTCTAGCTCAGTGTCTTCTGGGGTTTCACCTGCACTCACATTTACACCCCCCAGAATTGTTGGCACACCTTTAATCCAAGCACTAGGGAGGCAGAAGCAGGTGGATCACTGTGTTCAAGACCAGCCTGGTCTACAGTTTGTCCAGGCCAGCCAGGGCTACGTAATGAGACCCCATCTCAAATTAAAAAATAATCGTTTAGCATTTGTGAGTTTTCTGTGTTTTGACTGCGAGTGTGCCTGTAGCACACGTGCAAGGCTGAGGAGGTTAGAGGAGCTGTCACGTCACTTGGAACAAGTTACAGTGTTTGAAAGCTGCTATGGGGGTGCTGGGAACTGGTCCTGGTTCCTCTGGAAGAGCAGCCTGTACTTGGCACTGAGCCATCTTCTCCCAACCCACTTTATTTTCCCTCAGACAGGTTTCTCTGTGTGGCCCTGGCTGTCCTGGACTCGCTCTGTAGACCAGGCTGGCCTCCACCTCAGCCTGCCTCTGCCTCCTGAGTGCTGGGATTAAAGGCATGTGCCATCACCTGGCTGCAAACATTTTTTTTTTTTTTTTAAGTGAAGGCATAATATTCTAGTTTGGGAAAGAATTGTCTAAGGTGTGGTCTTCTGTGAATGTTTTCTTCTGGATTTCTAGAGAGGCTCTGTTAGAAAGGAGTGGCTTAAGACCTGAGGGCTCTCTGTTGCCATATTCCTCATAAGGGTCACATAACTGAGTGTGACAGGTCTCTTGCTGCCTTTAGCTCTCCCATCGCTGTTAAGAGCCTGGCATACATACCCTTTTATTACTTTATGTGTGAGTATCAATTATGAATGTTTTAAATTTGAAAATGGATTTAGGATGCAAGAGCATTTGCTTTCTGTTGAACATGTGATGAGGTCACATAGCCTAGGCTGGCTTCCAATGAGCTGTGTAAGATGTCTTTGAACTTATGGTTCTTCTGCCTCGGTTTCTGTGGTATGGGCATGCAGGTTGTGTAACCACGGTGGTTTATCAGTGCTAGGCTCTGGACGACCTTGTGCCTGCCAGGCGAGCACTCCACATGCTGAGCTGTGTTCCCGTTCCTGTATTTTTTCTTAAAGCATTCAGACTTCACCTGAAATAAACCTTAAAGTCTAAACATAAAGTGTTTAATTGAGAAAAGCGGGCCTGCTACGGTGATGGGGAAAGAGGGGGAACATAATTAGAACCTTTGTATGAGCAGTCTCTTCCTCCCAGCCAGCTTCCTTCCTTCCGTCTGTCTGTCTGTTAAAGTGTAATGGATCTTTTCTTCTTTTCCTTTGGGTTTTTAAAGTTTTACTTGCCAGGCAGTGGTGGTGCGCACCTTTACTCCCAGCACTCGGGGTAGAAGCAGGCACATCTCTGAGTGGTCTACACAGGGA